GGGTGTATAAAGATCTGGTCTGAGCAGGGCCAAGGTCAGAGTTTGAGTTCCCGCTCCACCATTTACCACCTGGGATGACCTTGGATTCATCCTCAGTTTCTTGGTGAGGTTGATGACAATATTGATCTTATGTGGCGGTTTGGAGGAGGAGAGGAGGTGAGAGAGACCACCGAGGGCCTGGCACAGCACCCTGGCACCAGGGGGTTTTCAGGTATGTGAGTTGTCACCTTCTCTTGAGTAGCACTGACCACCAGGCTCGGGACCTCCCACTGGGCTTGATGTGGGACTTGTCCATGGCTGGGTCAAGGGTGTGCAGTTGCTGTTGGAAGAAGAGCCCTTGGTTTTCTTTAGTGCGTTCTTGCCTTCATAACTTGTGCATTTTATTGAGGTCTGCAGTATACCAGGCATTATGTTGGTACTGGGGATAGGGAGCTTATGGTTGTGGGATAGGACAGACAATAAACATGCCAAATAAATATACATCAGGCGCAGTATGTGCTGCCTAGAAAGATAAAGCAGGAGAAGGGGACGGGAATGATCAGGTGTGACCCAGGAAGGCCTCCCTGACACAACAACAGTTGACCGAAGGAAGGGAGGGAGCCACACAGATATCTAGATGGAGAGCATTCCATGGAGACAGGGAGAAACAAGTGCAGAGGCCCTGAGATGATGAGTTCAGTGTGCATCGTGGGCCAGTCTGTTGGCAGGAGCGGGCTGAATGGGCAGTGTGCAAGGTGCAGGCTGGGGCTCATATGTGCACTACTGCATGCATGACCTGCTATCTCTTACCCCCAACACTGCATTATGAAATTTTCAAACATTCAGCAAAGTTGAAGAATTTGACAGTGAGTACCTGCCACCCACCCCCTGATTCCACATGGACATGGTACTGTCCTCTGCATTGCTCCAGGACCCTGGGTTGCTTCTGTGAGGGGTGGAAAGCCATGGGAGGTTTAGAGTGGGTGAGCAATGTGATGTTGGTTTATGGCTTCTTGGGTTAAATCTTTTAAAGATAGGGTGGTGCCTTGGCTCTAGCTGGGAAACAGAAATCCCAGCTACCTCGGCAGCTCACTGGCTGGAGTGAGCACCATCTACTCTCTTGACAGCCCGGTCAGAGGGCCACAGGTGACATTTGCACTCTCATGAGCGAGGGCAGTGGTCACCAGAGGCCTTGCTTCCCTGCGTCACTTGGCTCCCACCATTAGACTGCACCCCCTGAGGCCTCTGTCAGGTTGGGGCTGGAGCCGGGGAAGGCAAAGTAACCCACCTGTGGGTGGCCTTCAGCTGTGAAGCCTGCTTCACTGTCCTGTCCCACCCTCTCCACTGCTCCTCAGCAGCTCTGAGTCTTCATTTCAGCCACACTGGCACCCTCGTGGGTCCGCTCAGTCTGGGTGTGGGTTATCCCCAGGGACTGGGGCCAACAACACCCGTCTCTGGGCTCCAGAGAACACGCAGAGGCATGAGCAGGCAGGCCAGCGTCCTGACCTCAGTCCCCGAGGACATGATCATGCCTGCCCCTGCCCAGACTGGCGTGAGCTTTCTGGAATGGATTCCGAGATTCCTCCCGCTGACCGAAGGCCCCTAGGGGCAGTCCCCAGCAGGAGCACCCCCAAGCACTCATCCTTCCCTCAACAGCTCTGGGCCCTGCAGGTCCAGGTGGGCGTTTCTAGGCTCTTACTCAGCTCCCCTTCTGCAGAGGCAAACCCAGAGTTGGGGTGTTCCCAGAGCAGGCCAGCCCCCAGAGGAGTCTTGTTTGGGCCGCGCTCCCGGGTGCTGGGGTGGGAGTGCAGGGAGGAGGGACACAGTGACGCAGCTGAGGTCCGTGGACTTCACATTCCTTTGTCAGGTCAGTGTTGCCTTTTTAGTCCGCCTGCTTCTTGTTTGTGGCTTTTGAGCTTTTTATTAAATATCACTGGTCAGATTTCTTCATCCCACCCTCTGCTTTCCGTCCCTCTGACCCCCACTCCCTGATGATTCCTCCCTTTTAACCATTCAAAGTGCCTACTTGTGAAAGAGTCCCCAGGGG